GTACACCAACATACCCTGTCTCCAGCACACTTACACACATGCACAACATACACGGAGGCACGCCCTTAAATGATGTAAGCTGTTTATAGGACTTTGAACAAAATATAACCAAACGTTTCTGTTCTAAAGAAATATAACATCCATCTTACGATGATAGATTACAGCTATTTAACCCTTTAAACACTTAAACCATAATGGACTCATCCATATCAATGCATGGTAGAGTCTACTAAAGTTTCATAGGGGTGAAAGGGTTAATTAGGGAGTTCTTTTTCAAGGATCTGCATGCCACTGCCAAAAACTGCAACTACTCATTGGAACCCGTTTTCCCAGCATATAGTTTTGATAGATCGTTTCTGGAAGGAAAACCATACTTTGCAGGACTTTTAGGAAAAAATAAATAAAGATAAAGCAAAAATATGATGATAAAAAACAACAATGTTCTGTGTGTAGGTCTAGGTCAGGATTCAAACACTGGACTTCCTATTGTTATACTAATGCTATACATAATTGAGTGAACAGGGCAACAGTAGTTTTCTGGCCCAATTGTGCTAGATTTATATCAAAAATTAAATGCAAGCGAGATGCCTGTATAATTATATGAAAAAACGCGGAGCAGTGGGACGGGGGTCCATAGGTCCTCTATCAGTCAAAAGATGGTAGAATATGTATGTATTTCGGAAATTTACTAAAATAAATAGATGTTCATCATTTTCTTCATGGATAGTAAATAAAGTAAATATATATATATATAAGTGGTTCAAACAGGCCAGGTCTTATAAGGTCTTGTTTATGTAGTTTTACAAATTATTTCAGGTCCACTTTGGACACGACACATTTTATGTCCAGTTTCAGTCAAATTATCTTACACTTTGGAGGCTATCATGTTTCCATTTTTTTTTCTCATGTTGAGAGTGTATTAAAACAAACAAAATAGTGCAATATTGTTCAGACTTAAATTACAAAGACACTAATACACACATTTCTTGACGATATTTCTTATTTTTTATCCTTATCTTCACCGTCAGGGTCAGACAAATTGTCCTGATTCTGAAATTCATCTGCATTCATATTCGACTGTTCAACCGATTCTGGTGAAGCCAACTGTTCTGATTCTATTGAAGACACTTGATCAGCCGAATCCAACTGATCTGCCGATTTCGTCGAAGCCAGCTGATCTGCCGATTCTGTTGAACCTAACCGATCTGCCGATTCTGTTGAACCTAGCTGATCTGCGGAAGCCGGCTGATCTGCTGATGCCAACCGATCTATCGATTCTGTTGAAGCCAACTGATCTTCTGATTCTCTTGAAGTTGACTGGCCAACGCTATCGGTGTCATGATTCCCAGCAGGAGAGACGTTGTCCTTGAGCTCGGCGTATTCATTAGGAAAAGTCACCTTATTAATTTGTTTGTAATGATCCACTTTTCCTTCCTTCTTCATGCTTTTGTTCAGTTCCCTTAGCAGGATGTTCGTCAGGAGGTATTTTTTCTCATTCTGATTGGGGACAACAGGTGGCCATGGATTAACTGCAAATCAAAAGAACACATAGTTAAGTTCATGACATCACTAGCAAGCACAAATACTTTATGACATGAAACTGCCCTAATTTCTGTCTTTCCCAAATCATTTAATCAACACACAGTAGTCCTCCAGAGAATTGTTTTAAAGATGATTTTTTTCATTTCAATAGAGTTAGGACCTAGCACCATAGTGTGTGCAAAAATACCATGTCATATTGTGAAGCCATAGTTGTAGATGTGTCGCTTCGAATCCAAATTTTATTCAATGAATTCTTAGTGTATCTAAAAAAAATAGAATGATAAATAACCTATTTATAACTAACATGTACATGTATATATATATAGTTTTAACAATTTAATTCATAATAATTGTATCATTAACTCATTCACCCCTGAAGACACATTTGAACTCTTCCAATGGAAAGGTTGGAATAGTTCAATATGAAACTTCAGGGGTGAGTGAATTAATATTTGAAGTCATAAATATAGATTTGAGTGAATACTATTGGTGAAAACCTGTTGGCTTCCCCCCCACCTCCACCCTTACATAAAATAAAAATGTAATGTCTTACATTTCAGTTCCAAGACAGCCATACTGGTATTATCGGAGCCAGGATATTTGTTTGGGAGTCGGTACGTCTGGGTATAGTTGTAGTTTGTGAAGTGGTTGTACCGCGGCACTAACACTTTGAACAGCTTGTGAATTAGGTCTTTCTCCTGTAAACAGAAATATTTTATTGTCATTCTCTCAATAAAATTAATGACAACCAAAATTTAGTTGAATAATTCTACAGTTGAGGATAAACCATATAGCATGTGCATGTCATAACAAATATTCCTAAGAAAATCTGCAAATCGAGTTTCCATGTCAGGAAACACTAAAATTAAAGTTGAGATATCATCCAAAATATGAGAAATTGTGAAAACTTTGTAAAATTTTAAAAGGACTCCACTAGGTACTACTTTATAAATAAAAGTTAACAACACAAGGTTTGTCTTCCAAAATACATTAATATCAAAACCATGAAAATATTGCAAAACAGACTGTCATTATGGATATACATGTATCATGGAAAACCTCGAAAGCAAATTGCAAGGTTCCATGTATCAGGAATTACTTATCATCCAAGATTTGAGAAAGTATGACTTGTTAAATTTAAAAAGAACTACACTGCTTCACATATCAAAGTTGATAGCGTATTGTTTGCCATCTTAATTAATCAATGTCAAAAACACAAAATTATCATTGCAAAAACTGACTTATAACCTTGGGTGGAGTTGAAAAGGGCCAAACAAAAAATATTTCATGTTTCCGATAACCCTACCTACCCTAATTGTGCCTACCCTACACTTTTGACGACAATTTTCAAAGAACCACTGTGAAAGTCAAGATCACTCTCCTATATAAACCATTTAAAATCATTTGTTAAAATAAAATTTGTTACCTACCGTAAATTTTGTTACAGGAAACACAAACATTTTTTTGTCTAGCCTAAGTCTGTTTTGGTCATGTTTGCATTTATTAAGCTTGGTGTTTGTTTGCACTAATCAATGTCAATAACACACTTGAGTAAAGCTTGCCTTTAGCTAGCCCCAGTTAAAACACAAAGGTGAAGATGACAATGTCCCGGTGATTGACAGGAAGGGAGGGGCATAGGGGTATATAAGCTTATCAAAAGCAGGGTTTTTGCCACGTCGACAAAACACTTACTTCGTCGGTGAAGTGTAGACGAAAAACCCATCAACCACCCAACCAAGGGGTTTTACCAGCTATTTTGGGAAAGGGCCCCTGTCAGGATTTGGGAAATATCATCTGCGTTTTGCAAAAATTGGGAAATTTCATCAGTGTCCCCATATGATTTGAACAAATAAAACCTACAATGTGGGTTGCAAAAGGTTTTCCTCAGTAAAATGTATAGCAATAAATAAACACATCAATTTTCAGTGGTTTTTTTTATTCAATTTCAATTTTCGTTATTTATGTATTTTGGATGCTCCTTCATGGACATTTATACTTTGAATGTTGCACAAATAAAGACTGGAAACTTGTTTAAACATTCCTTTTAATCCAACTGGGAAAATAAAGACTGAAATTGGGAAACACCGTTGTTTTTTTTTTAATTGGGAATGGGTCCCCGTACCAGACTCTATAATCACCTGGCAAAACCCCGAAAACGCATGTGAACCACCATCCTGTGTCAGAAGCTACACAAGGACAGAACATTCCTTGATAAGTGTATAAGTACTAGAGAGTGAGCTTTCAATGATTGGGTATGTCTGAATAGGACTGTTACCATTACGATCGCTCATTCGAAAGTATCGCTCACGCTACAGGGCCAAGCTACCGCGTTGCTTCGGGTCGGCTATATTGTTAAATCAAAATGGGCAGTGCGAGACCTCATTAAGTTGCTATAGGGAGTTATAGGGATCATCGATTGGTCAGGATAACTCAAGGTTAGCAAGCAGTGATTGCTCGGACATAGACAATGTTACAGAGTTAGATAAACTGGTCTGTACATAGATTTGCATCTAATAAATTTTGATACACTCCAGCTAAGGTAGGTAATACTAGGTATACTCGCTGGAATCTCCAGTGTGACTGGTATGAACCATAGGGGAAATGTCACACTATTAAGTTTGAAGTTAATCTGTTAAAAAGTTCTCATGATATTGAGCGGACACCATTTCAGCATTTGAACAAAGGGGCATAACTTTGTAAATTAGTCAGATAATGGTAGCTATCAAAAACCTCCAAGCTCTAATGATAATTAATCTTCCTATGAAATTTGAAGTTAATCCATTGAAAATTAGTCATGTATATAAAGCGAACACTGTTTCAGCAATTCATTAAAGGGGCATAACTCCTGATCAGTATATTAGAGCTGGTCTAAGCAGGGTTGGTAATTTTCCTATGAAGTATATTAAGTTTGTCTGTTGAAAAATGACTTTTGATATCGAACAGACCACCGTCTGACAGACCGTCCACACATTTATGACATTGGGCTTAATAATCAATCTTCATTGACCTGTACAGTATTCATAATTATTGTTTACCAGCCGATTCCAAGCATTTAATATTGCATGTGTAGCTTACCGTAAGCCAGTAATCGGCCATTTCCATGGTGTGTCGATCCTTATCGCCATTCTGAACTGCAAGACTTATAAGCTGTAATGATAGAATAGTTATCAAAAGGTCTCTCAAATTAACAAGCATATTTAAACTTCTAAAACTTAAGGTCTATAATATCCACTTTAAATTTATATCGACTGGAGCATCGGCAAATCTGGCAATATAGACAGATTTGTCTATAAAGCCAAATACGGCTATACATATACTGGGCGTATGTCAACAAGCAACCCCTTTCCTTACTGGTAATATTTATCTCAAACCTCAGACAGAGATATCCCACGTCATACCACATGCTATTTTTTTCTATCTCGTCCGATCTGTCTTGTACCTTTACGCGACATTTCGCGGAATTTTTTACACTGTGATGTATTCATCTGCATGTTAACTGCTTGAAATTGACAATTTGCATCATAAATGTTCTGTTTTGTCGTTATATGTATAGTTTTGATGTTGTTAGATATTTGATGTTGTAGATAAAATATAATCTACACTGTGAAATACGTTGTAATCTATGTAAGGACGGACTACATTTTTAAGCGAAAGCATTCAAATGTAGCTTAAGTAGTGAAGAAGTCATTATCATTTGAGGCCCAAGGCGGGATACTTGTATTTTTTAGCAAAATTGAATTTTTTTTTCGAACTAAAAGGTGCGAAAAAAAAAATCTATTACCTGTAACTGTGCGAGATCGGGTTATCTCAGTCTCAGGCTAAGATTCTGTAACATCCCAACCTCAGCTTACGCCTACAGAATCTTACCCTCGACTGAGATAACCCAATCTCGCTCAGTTACAGGTATTAGATTTTATTAATCTTTTGCACGCCGATTAAACTGTTGACCAAGCAGGTGATCATGACTTGGTGAAATAAAAGATCATTGTCTGCTTAAAACTTTTAATTGATTTCCCCTGTCATCTTGTGTCACTTACTAGTTTAAAAGTATAGCCTGTGTGTCTATTCAATATAGCGCCAATGTCTTCCCGAACGGATATGGTAATGACAGCATCCAGAAGATGCAGATCCGCACCGGACATGTGTACTTTTCAAAGATACTTCTGAGTAGAAATGATAACACGCAGTGAAAGTTGTTCTATGTGCCGAGAGGGTATGAAATATTTTGTGTTTTGTTACAGAAATTGTTAATATTTCTGTGTTAAACCTTCAGATACAAAGGGTAAAAAATGCTAGTACCATTTGCAACTAAAGTCACTGGAAATTGAGTTAATAGATAAAAACCTTTCGTTTTACTGACTAACCTGTTTGTCCACCAAATTTTTAACGAGCATGGGGAAATTGCGACTATAATGGACTTGATATGGTTCTAAAAATTAAACTCAACACGTATAAGTTGTCACATTGGACTATATAACCAGATTTGTCGGTGCTTCAGTACCTGATCGATACCGACGATAGTCTATCGGTTCTACATTTCAACCTGGTTTCGGTGACAAATCCACGTATTTTATAGAGCAGTGGATAGCTGACCATAGCAGTTGATAGCTGACCATAAACAGGTGACCGATCAGAATTTTGGAGCGATTATGGTCAGTTTTAGCGGATTTAGAACCATAAAGCGATACGGTATGTTAAAAAAGATTTACGACACTTGGACTAACGTTCTAACACAAAACCTTGTTATTTTTTTATATTCTGTGTGTCACCGATTTTTTCTTCACGTGCTCTTTTTGGTCTTTAGACTTTACAAAAAGTACGGAAACGTCATTTATCTTACCTGTTCAGTGTATCCTCTGGCTTCATCACACCTTGGCAAAGTCGATTCGATTCTTTCATATCGAATGAGGTTAGTAACCATCTCTTGTAGCTTTAATGCCCGTCCCTCCGACCCACCGCCACGCCCCGACGCCCTCTGTAACTTACGAGGACGACTTCTGTATGCAGCACTTCGCAACATGCTTTTCCAGTTCGTTAAAGTAAAAAGCGGAAGTAGATATTTAATGCTAATATCCAAATCGTACTACGGCGTGAATATCCGGTCACAGGAACACGTTTTTTTTTTTTTAATTTTCATTGAAGAACTGTGAGTATATATAGCTTTTAAAGGGAAACAATTTTTAATACAGCATAAGCGGGCCTAAAATTCTTGTTTTTATATAATGAAAGTAGAGTATTCATGTATTTGATTCGAATTTTAATTACCACCAAATCTGATTAAAACCAGATCTTTGATTCCTTTCCGATTACTCTAAGTCTATGTTCCAGTCAAAGCCAAACTTTTTCAAAAGAAAAGGTCAAAGGTCAAGTCATAGGTCACAGTGACCTATCTTTTGCACTCTGCACTACGCCATCTTACACTAAACAGAAGATATGTCCTTGACAAACTTTTTCAAAGTTAAGGTTAAAGGTCAAGTCATAGGTCAATGTGAACTTCTTCTTGCACTCTGTACTCCGCCATCCCAAGATGTCCTTGTACACCAAATCTGGTAACTCCAAGTGAAATAGTATCGAAGATATGCCCCGGACAAACTTTTTCAAAAGTAAAGGTCAAAGGTCAAGTCATAGGTCACAGTGACCTAATTCTAGCACTTTGCACTCTGCCATGCCTAAATGTCCTTGTACATCGAATCTGGTTACTCCAGGTGAAATAGTATAGAAGATATGCCCCGGAGAAACATTTTCTAAAGTAAAGGTCAAAGGTCAAGTCATTGGTCACAGTGAACTTCTTCTTGCACTGTGCACTCCGCCATTCCAAGATGTCTTTGTACACCAAATCTGGTAACTCCAGGTGAAATAGTGAAGAAGATATGCCCTGGACAAACATTTTCCAAAGTGAAGGTCAAAGGTCATGTCNCCCCCCCCTTAAAAGTAGAACATGTACCTACATATCATATCTTGATACATAGGAATATCAAAATAATGTCTGTATCAGTACAAATGAATTTCCGACGCACAGTAAAATTACTTGTATATTTCAAAGCAACTCACAAAGAGCAAATGGCATGATAATAGGTACAATATATAGCACGTAAAAGGGATGTACATATTTACATCTTTTGTTAGGAGCATATTATATTTTACAGAAATATAAGACTGGACAATATATAGTAAACACATCAATGACCTTCACCGTGAAGTTGTCTCAGAGACTGACATCAACAATACCTGTGTCAAGTAAAATCAGATTTGGTGGAACGTTCTGATTAACCAAAATTACAATTTTCACATCATCATGGTAACATTCTGTAGATTTGAACTTGATTTTGAATCACAACAGTTTATATGTAATCAAAGCTTTAAAACTCATATCAGATAAAACATATATCACCAGATACGTTTATCAGGATTAGGCTAAAAATCATGAAAAAAACGTCCTAGTCTTAAGTCAAAGCTCAAAAGTGTCAAAAACTAATATACTACTCAAGAAAATTAGGTTTAGTTTAATAAATAAGTCAAGATTTTCCCCATTTTAGTAAATTTTGCAACTCATATAATTGTTCATTTCTTTGTTATAAAAGAATTAGCATCATCATTAAACATATCACAGATTGGGGGGGGGGGGGA